ATCAAAAAATACTTTTATCAGATCATACCCTTGGATATATTATGTATTTTATATATCGCACATCCCGTTCAAAAGTTTACTAACTCAAAATAGAGAATATAGATAACATTGTCAGGAGAAGTAAAAGAAAATTTAAGTTAAGGGAATATGCTCCTTTTTGCATATTAATGGCCAAATAATATAATGTTGATTTAATAAAATTTTACTGGCATCCTTCTGAGGTATAAATCAGATTAAAAGGACATTGTTTTTGTAATAATTGTTTGTTTTGTAAACATTTTTTGAAGACAATACAGTTTTGAACGGGCTGTGCGATATAAACAAGGATCTTACTATTATTTGAGGTTAGAAAGCATTTAAATAATATAAAACATAATCAAAATCATTTTTCATCATAAATTATAGAGGTACTTACGTGTTTTGATATTATTATCAGGAAATAATACGTTTAGTTAAACAGGTACGCTGCCAGGCAAGTTCTGTCGACGGGTCTTTGCAAAAGTTGAAATCTAAAAATACAAAAATACGTTTACATCTTAGTTGTATTTACAAATAAAGTATTTGTGTGTAATTTCTGACTTACCAGTTAACTGAATAATCGCATTAAATACATCCAAACGGTAATTTAATATTGTAAAAAAGCAAAATTGTTTTAAGTCACTTGCCAGGACAGCCCGGCCAGCTTCTTTGTTGACAAAATGGCCGCGGTATCATGATTTAAGCAATGTGAGTGACAAAGAAAGCCAATGCCTGGCAGTGCCTGGCAGATGTTGCTTTCTTTGTCGTTGGTCCTGGCACGTTTAAATTTGACTGTTGCCTGTTTTCCCATACAAGTGACACCCCCGTGTGGGCACCCAACAGCGAACTATACTGGAAATTTTTTGACGTTTATAATGACTTTTTTAATAGAATATCTTTTTGAGAGTCTGGTTTTTATTTGTTTACATGATAATTTTGATACATTTCAATAATTACAAAGCTGAGATGTTTTCTTTATTATTCTTTGGACACCTCCTATCTTCTTAATGGCGAAAATATAGGACTTGGAATGGACTGAATTAAATGTCTATGTCTAATGAAATATACCGTGCTTCTATTTTAACTGTGAACATAGGACTTAACACAATGCAATGCTATTTTGTTAAGTATGTTAATTTTTAAACAGTCAATGCATTGGATTTGAGGGAATAGTATGCAACAAATACTCACACAACAAATAATATTTTTTTGTTTAAAAATATATTTGTTTGCTTAGCACAGATAGTTTCTAGCTCAAAAAATTATCAAAAATCCTAAATTTCGATGAATTTTTTTTTAAATTTTATTTCATGTCTATTAGTTTTTTGGCTAAAAAACAGTATTGCCTGTCAGTATTTCGTCAATGGATGATAAAAGGCCCAAGTAGCATTTGGACGTTATCTAACGTCGGGTATACGTCGCGTTCAATAAACTCGACGTCGGGTACCAACGTCGGTTCGACCGCCTGACGACCCTTATTTGCACCTAAATGGGGAATACATATTCGGGTCGCCTCGACGTCGGTATCTGACCTAATAGGGAATGTAATTCTACCAATTACCAACGTCATATTACGTTGGATTTTAGTTACTTAAAATTCGTCGCTAAGCACTTACGTTACGTTTGGTTTCATATTCGCTACCAAGAATACATAAAAACATAACCAAACTACCTAATTAAAAATGGATTCATAATCACTCCTAGATTAGAACTATAAGTGCCTATCTAATTTCATATTATAATAATTCTGAATCATTAATCCAGACATCAGTTTTGTCAACGGACGTCACTTTTTTTATATGTCTGATTAAAATACTCCGGAAAACAACGAGCGCCTTCAAAAGTAGGTAGATTTATGAAATAAAAATATCTATAAAAAGTAACTCATAAAATATTTTTTTATTTTCTAGCTGGTTTAATCATAAAACTGTACTGTGGTTCCCCCAAACTCAACCTTATCAATATTATTCTACTAGAAATCGGAATGTGAATATAAATTTTAAAAACAAAAAAAGATTTTAAAATGGCTGACAATCGGATACCTGTTAAGAATGGCGGATTTCTGTGTCCGACTTAATATGAACTACCAATATACCAATTCCGACCGGGTCTCCAACATTAGTCGTCTCACACGACCGAAGTCATCAAACCGGACGACCGGCAATCGTATTATGACGTATATAATTCCAACGTACGCCACGTAACCTCACTTTGCGTATCAGTGATTTGTGGATTTGTGCAACTATATTTTAGTTTTTGTTTTCTCTTTAAAACAATGGGCAGCCACTTTTTTAAGATAGTATATACAAAATTTAAGAGAATTGGAACCAGTACCTCACATGTGGGAGGAGGATGGGGTCTGCTGGTTTCCTAAGCTAACCAATAAAATTAAGATGCACCAGTGTAATGCAGCATCTTTTCCGCATAAAAAGCATTCGTGGACGGAGGGAAGACATCACTACTACTATTATTATTTTGCAAAAGCCTCGACCTCTTTCTGTAAAATGTAGATGAATGTCTAAATGCCTTTTTAGTATTTTTTTAGGCATAATAAAAAAAAAGTTTGTTTACAAAAACTTTTTATTAGGTTATGTTCATGATGTTTATTAGGCCGCAAATGCTACTTAACGGGTTGTATTTACGGACGTAAATAGAGATACGTAAATTTAAAAATATGAACATAAAATACAACAAAATATAATTGTACGTTACTTTAGGGATTATCAGTGAGACGTATCCTATTCGGACAACGGGTAGACGTCGGGCTAGTTCAAGTATAGGTACGTCGTGCAAGCCAACGTTGGAACGACGTTGGGAAATTAATAAAAATGGTACGTTGTTATTTTGTACGTCGACAAATCGTTGGATTTACCGACTCGGATCCAACGACGTCACTTTTAATAGGAAAGCGACGTCACCAGTCGTATCACCAACACCCGACCTAAATTTGCACAAAGTCTGACGTCGCTTCAGGTCAGATTTAGTTCGAAGTCACATATATGCTACTTGGGGGGTGGTTATGGACTGACAACAGAGGAGTGTTTTACGAATTACAATTCGATGATTGACGCCTATGTTAAAATAAAAGCACTGTATATACAGGGTGGTCCGAACTGTATTCCGGAAACTTCGGCAGCATATTCTGCAGATAAAAGTAAGTAAAAAAGTTCGTATGAATGTGTGTCCTAAAATACTTAGTTTCGGAGATACAGGGAGTTTCATTTTTATTTCGATTTTTTCCAAATAATTTCTGAAATAACGTCAATATTTGGATGAAAATTAGTATATGGGAGTTTTTTAACATGAAAAATTTGATTTTGATGTCAATATGACTCCTACTTGTAGAGGGCGCTACCTACATGCGTTTTAACTGTTTTGAAGAGTAATAACTTTTCGTCCGTACCTGTATAAAACTGCTGAGTGAAAAAATATACATTAACGACGTTTTCTACGTAAAAAAAGTCTCTTGGTAAAAATCGCTACGAGTAAAAGTTCTCGAGATATTTGGAATCGAAATTATCAATACCTGGCATCATTGACATAAATTAAATATGTTGACTAAATAGTTATTAGACTGAAATCGTAAATTTGAAATGTTTTTGTGCCAAAAGTTCAACAGACATTGTTTTATTATCATTTTTTCGAAGAAAAATTTATAATTAATTTAAAAAAATAAAATGTTTCGAAATTTATCATTTTAGTCAAATAACTATCTACACCCAATACAGTTGAGGGTTGGAACCTTTGGTGTTACACAGCAAAATAAAAACGCTAAATCACCACAATACACCAAAACACTTTTACTTTTACACTGGACGCGCGTTTCGCGATGCAGATTATAAACTGCTTAGTTTATAATCATCTGCTGATGATGCTAACATGGTTAGCGAAACGCGCGTCCAGTGTAAAAGTAAAAGTGTTTTTGGTGTATTGTGGTGATTTAGCGTTTTTATTTTACACCCAACATGTTTTCGTAAAAGACATTTTTTTCATAAAAAATCACGGAAATGTGAGTGAAAATTTTTTCACTCAGTGGTTTTATACAGGTACGAACGAAAAGTTATTACTCTTCAAAATAGTTAAAATACATGTAGGTGGCGCCCCCTACAAATTGGAGTCATACTGACATCAAAATCACATTTTTCATGTCAAAATACTACCAGATACCAATTTTCATCCAAATATTGACGTTACTTCAGAAATTATTTGGAAAAAATCGTAATAAAAAGGAAACTTTTACACCCTGTATCTCCGAAACTAAGCATTTTAGGACATACATTTATATAAACTTTTTTACTTATTTTTATCTGCAGAATATGCTGTCAAAGTTTCCGGAATACAGTTCGGACCACCCTGTATATATAATATTTAGACACTATTTTATTCACCTCTTTTTCCATTTAGTACTTTGAATTTTGAGTAGTTTAGATGCAAATATTCGTAAACAATTCGAAACCAATTTTCTTTCTTCAAGTAGGAGCCACCATCCTCTATTAATGCGGGTAAATAAGTCATCGCACGATGATTGATCATTACATCAGACAATTTCACGCACATATTTTGCATGTAGTATGATTTTCAAACCGATTCATTTTTAAAACCAAGAATTTTGGTTTTTCAAGCTGCACAATATTCTTTATTACAACAAAACGCGAGTTTATCTGATATTTTGAACTGTCAAAATACGATGATCACAGCCTTTTATGATTGACGCTTGCTGACGCTGCGCGCTGGTTATGAATTTCATACCAATAAAGCGTTTATGAAAAGTTAATAAAAAAAGCAATTTTCTACCACTTGTAGTTACTCAAAACTTATGTAAAATTAAAGAATATATTGTGTTGTCTTGAGATGGTATTTTCGTGCAACTACAACGAGTAGAAGTCAACAATTATTTAAAGAATCTAAAAGATCTTGCTGCCAAAACTGTGACGCGGTGTAAATCTGTTCATGCAGCGCAGCGTTCCGAAAAACCTTTTAAATTATGCTTTTCTACCACTTGTAGTAAGTCCAAGTAACTATAAAATGAAAGAATATAATATTTTAGGTCCTAAAATGGCACTTTTGAGCTACTACAATCAGTAAAAATCAACAGTTTATAGGCTAAGAATCCATTGGTGACAAGACAAACTGAATCTGTTCATGTATGTATCTATAGGACTAATAAAATTTTTATGTTCTACCACTTGTAGTAGCCCAGACTAAATAAAAAATCAAAGAATGTAATATGTTTCATTAAAAAACTGCATTATCGTATAACTACGACAAGTAAAAATCAATAATATCTCACAGGGCAGGCTGAGAAGCCATTACCGAAACTGCAAGGCACGTTAAATGTTAGAATTATAACTTTCTCCCACTTGTAGTAACTCGAAATTGATATAAAATAGAAGAATATATTATGTTACGCTGCAGGTTGCCATTTTAATGTAACTACAAAGAGTAGAAATTAAGAATTATCGCAGGCTTGTAGTCTATACCTAGGATGATCACGAAACTTTATTTTTTATTTTTTTTAAGTCGTGCTGCTTGACAGCTTCAAAACTGAAACAGTTTTTAGGTTTGGGTGTCACTTAGTTACCATAGTAACTAAATAATCAAGTCGACGAAAAATCGAAAAATACATTTTAATTATTTGATTTTCAAACACAATTTGGTGTGGAATTTTTTTACCGAATACCACACGAGATCAAATTAAATCCGGAAATTTTTGGACCTCTAGTGGTATTACTAGTGAAAATACAATTTCCGATTGTTGTTCAATGGAATATGACCCATAACTAATTCTAGAAATAACTGTGGAAATAACCTTCAAATTCCAGTACCTATAACTTAAAACGTTCTTTCACTTTGCTTTAAGATTTTCTAATTTCCATATCCTTTGTAATAAAATAAAATTCTGTATAAGGAAAAAAGGACAGGGTCAAAGATATTTTTAAAGCATAGACAGGAACCTATATAGAAATATTAAGAAGGGACATACAGGTTGGGCTTGGCGTGTATTTACAAGGATAGGGGATTTGGGTCAATTTTTTTTATTAAAAAATAAAAGGTTTCTTTTGTGTAAAATGAAATTCTGTAGAAAGCTTTCAAAATACCTGTATTTTTTATAATAGTATTTCTTTTTCCAGTTTTCGCTATGGCTTCAGTTTAACTAAAAAAAAAATGTGTGTGCACTATGTGTGCATGAAGTGAAACTTCTAACTAACAGCCATTAAAATTGAAGGATTTGAAGGACATAGTACGAGAGCTAGCAACGTCGGAAAAACAAGTATTTTAAGACGTCTGGCTCTTTGATATATCTTTTACTATGCTCTCTAGAACAGCATGCGGCCCGTCTGGCTCCCGTTACACGTTGCATTCCCTACTGCGCATTGAAAGAAGATTCTATATTTCTATTAGTCCTTTAAATTCTAGTATTGAATATAAATCGAACATGTCTCCATAGCGCAGTGCGTGGAGTTTCCGACCACGAACCGATGATTCAGAGTTCGAATCCGGGTCAGGGCAAAGACTTTTTTATTTTATTTTCGTTTATATTCTGATAGTAAAGTATTAAATAATTCTGGTGATTAAAAAAAAACAAATATTTAATAATTTACTATCAGAATATATACGAAAATAAAAAAAAAAAGTCTTTGCCCTGCCTTGAATTCGAACTCTGAATCATCGTTTCGTGGTCGGAAACTCTACGCACTGCGCTATGGAGATGTTCGATTTATATTCAATACTAGAATTTATAGGGCTAAATTAATAAAAAATATAGGATCTTCTTTCGATGCGCAGTAGTGAAGGCAACGGGTATCGGCAGCCAGATGGGCCGCATGCTGTTCTAGAGAGCATAGTAAAAGATATATCAAAGAGCCAGACGTCTTAAAATACTTCCTCGAAAACGTTACTAGCTCTTAGACTAAAATGTTTGAAAAAGTGTTTGTTTGAAATGTTTGAAAAGTAATAAATAATAAAAATGAAAAAACTTGAACTAGTAGTTATTATAGTAGTCGAAACTGTGATATTTTTTATGGTTGTCTAGTACCTAGGTGTTCTTGGGCAAACTTTAGTTTAATAAGAAGGAAGAAGAAAATATAAGGTTATTTATTATTTTATCAAATGTAACACTTTATTTAAACAATAATACAAATGTATGGAAATTAAATACAGTAATATATTAAATTAAACATGAAAGTAACATCCCTTCAAGAACAATAAAAGCTTAATTTCAAGACATAGTAAAATTCCTTCAAATATGGTTAAGTTCATTCAATATCATATAATATTTGCAACAAAATTCATTCTTTGATAGATGGTTACATAATATTATTAATTTTGATTAACGTCATATTTTTTGCTGTAAAGTAAAGATTTCAGTTAACGTCTCCTTTTTGCTGCCAGGGCTAATCTGGACGGAGCCTACTTTGTTTACGCGGAATCCGAACCGTGATCCTCGGCCATATCATTGTCAATGGCCTAGCGATTTGGCAAGTGTCTAAATCGATCTTTACCCTACGAGTTATTCGATCTCATCCAACCTCGAACCGGCCTGAATGAGAAATGTGGGTCAATAGATTTTATACTCTTGCCACCCAGTGAGCATTTTACTCCTTTAAGGGAAATGTGTTTCCTAATGTTCCCTAAATGTGACAAAACTTTACTCACTGGGCATTAGGGTTTCCGGAACCGGAGATGTTTTTCGGAACCGGGAATTTGAGTATCGCGCCTCTTAGGAACCGGAATTTCCCGTTTTTTTCGGTACTTTCGGTACTGACTAATTTATTTGTGTTCAATGGTAGTGCAGTTCATCAATCAGAGAGCAAGGGATGGCTTTTCAAAGTAAAATGAAAATTATTAAGTCATGAAATATTTTAAACATGAACATAAGCGAGAAAAAAACGAAAACAAATAGGTAGCTTAAAAATTACACCAAACAACATCAACCAACCTCGAAACCAACTTAACTAAATTTGAAAAAAAACTTAACATTTTCAATTAGAGATGCAAATGTCTATAAAAACACAAAAAAATATAACTAATACATTTGGCAATATTTATATAAATAGTAAAATAACATATTTAAACTTCAATAATTGCTAATAAGCATTATAGAAACTTCAAAATTACTTCAGAATTAAGGACAGTAAGAGATAGAATTTTAGAATTTAGAATAAGTGGGAGGGGGGTTAATCTCTGCGACCTTAGAGATCTATTGTGTCCCCCTTTCTTGAGTTATAACTCATCATACAGTCCCAGGAGTTCCTACGGAGACCCGTGTCCTTCACAGTCGAGGGGCTACGACCCAGGCCGTGTAGACGAAACGGTAGCTTGTGTCGCCTGTTGGGTTTAGAGGTAGGAGGTAGGCTCCCGACCCTTGGAGGAGGTGGTAGCTTGTATGCCACTTGCGGAGGATGGTCTCACGCAAGTGTCAGCCACCTCTCCTGTAGTTCTCTTTGGGTTTGGCCCCTTGGAACTTTCATTGTTACTGTTCCCAGTGTTGCTAGGGGTTTCCCCACAGCTTCACCGGTGATGTTTTTATTACTATTATTACCAGATCTCATAGTGATCCCATGAGTCGCTAGGGACAGTCGGTCCACTGCATGTAGAAGTAAGGGGTAAAGTACAATGGGGTGCCCCCCGGTGCCCCAAGGTTGAGGCTGTCCGTAGCCCCGCCCGGTATCGTTATATGTCTTGGTGCAATTCCCTGGCCACGACACTACAGTCAGGGACAAGACAATGAGTGAGATGCTTCTTAGACCAAGCCAAGTGCTAGGGGGGATTCCCCCCATCACCTGACCAGGAGCTTCCCCACCAACGACAAGGTCTTGCATCTCCTAGGGGAAGCAGTAAGAGATAACATTACTACTTATTTAGAAGAGTTTGATTTCGACCGCTAGAAAGTATGAAAAGTCTTTCGCACGTAAGAACAAATATGTTTTTAATTATTATTCCCGAGTCCTGAAAGAACCGGGAATTCCCGGTGCTTTCGGTACCGGGATTTTCCGGTTCTGAACCCTACTGGGCATGGAATAACAGCACGACAGAGGCCACCCGTCCATTCACTCCCACGATCTAATATCGCTTAATTTCGGTGATCTATCGGGAACCAGGGTTTAAACGCAGCTGGGCATTTCCCCTTTTGATAAAATAAATCTTATCAAAGTCAAGGTGATATACAAAACATAGAATCTTGGAGAAAGTCCTAATTAATTTACGATGTTTTGCGCTGATTGTTACTAATTGTTGCATATGTTTTAATTTGCCTCCTTTCTGCCACGGTCAATCAATGGCGAATGCGTGACGTAAAAAACGCGGCTATTATTACAACTCGCCGAGCACGGCTACTTATTATTATTAAGCGGCGAGTTAATTGCGGCGAAACGCTTATTAGAGTTTTTTGAACTTCACGGCTAGAGGAACGTTTAATTATTAAATTTACCAAGAAATACGTTTACCATTATAGCCAATAAATTTTTATAATCTGGTAAATATTAGCCAATGATAGAGGATAGATGTTTTACCAGCGAAAAAGATCTCATAATCGTTTTTTCGATTTTTTTGTTTTTTTTTTCTGGGGTCGAAATATACTACACCTAAAAATATTTGCAGTTATTTAACACTCACTTCGTATAAATGTATGCTCTAAAATTCTTATTTTCAGGGGTGTAGAAGTTTCATTTTTATTTCGTTTTTTTTCAAATAATTTCAATTCCAAATAATAAGTAACGTCAATATTTGGATGAAAATTAGTGTCTGGGAGTGTTTTGACATGAGAAATTTGATTTTGATGTCAATATAACTCCTACTTTTAGAGGGCGCCACCTACATATTTTTAGCTAGTTTGAAGAGTAATAACTTTTCGTCCGTATATATATATATATATATAAGATCCTATATCTCCTACGCGGAGCAAAGGGCTTCAGTGAAAGCTCTCCATCGGGTTCTGTTTTTGGCAGTTGTTTTTACTTCCTTCCATGTTGACCCTACTTGTTGAAGCTCATCCAGTATGGAACGTCTCCATGTTTGAGCAGGTCGTCCTTGCGTTCTTTTTCCTTGAGGATTCCACTCCAACGCTGATCTCGCTATATTACTATCAGGTTTCCGCAAAGTGTGACCTATCCAACTCCATTTTCTTTTGCGGATTTCAATGCCTACTTCTTGTTGGTTTGTAAGATGAAGCAGGTCGGTGTTACGTATAGTGTCTGGCTAAAAGATTTTAAGTATTTTCCGCAAGCAGCGATTGATAAATACCTGTGGACGGTTGATGGATATTTTTGTCACTCTCCATGTCTCGCAGCCATATAATAAAACTGGTATGACGTTGGAATTGACTATTCTTAATTTTGTTTGTATGGAGAGTTGACGGGAGGTCCAAACTGATTTTAGTTGGCCAAAGGCTCGCTGCGCCTTCCTGATGACAATATCCGCGTCTGCGCCACCGTTTGCTATTACAATACTTCCCAGGTAAGTAAACTCTGTTACATTCTCGACATGTTTGATTCCTACATTGAATTGAGTGTTGTTGTTTGTGTTAATGCGCATTGACTTTGTTTTGTCGATGTTTATGCTTAATCCTACTTTGTCTGCTTCTGTTTTTAGACGTCTGAGCATCACTTCCATGTCTTTGAAGGATTGCGTTGTGAAACAGATATCATCAGCATAATCAAGATCCGTCAGATGCGATGTCAGAGTCTATTGTACTCCCCTAATATTTGCTGTGGCTTTAGTCAAAACGCTGTCGAGCACGATATTAAATAGAAGCGGCGATAATGTGCAACCCTGCTTTACTCCTGTCTATAAGTTAAAACTGTCGCTGGTTCTACCGTTGTGCAGCAAATTGCATTCTGTGTTTCTGTAGAGTTCCTTTAATTAGTTTTTCCGGAACACCTTTTTCTTTTAGAGTTTTCCATACCATCGCATGGGGGATACTGTCAAAGGCTTTGACGAAATCTATGAATAATAAGAATAAAGGTGACCTAAATTCTATTGACTGCCCTATGATAATGCGCAATGTGTTAATATGGTCAATGCACGAGTGTCGGAAACCAGCTTGGTTCTCTCTCAGAGTAGGCTCTAGATAGGAGTTTAACCTTAAATGAACTATAGAGGATATTATCTTGTGAATGGTGTTTAACAAAACAATACCTCTCCAGTTGTCACAGTTAGTGGTATCTCCTTTTTTAGGGAGTTTAATAACGAGACCCTGTTTCCATTCATCTGGGATGATGTTAGATACCCAAGCTTTTGTAATTAGAGGATGCAGTATGTCTGCTGCTGTGCTAGGATCTACTTTGAGGAAGCCTGCAGGAACGCTATTGGCGCCAGCTGCTTTATTGTTCTTAAGTGTTTTAATAGCCTGTTGTATTTCTGTTTTCGTTGGCGTGTCGCAGTTGATAGGCATTTCGATTGTTGGCTCCGGTTCCTCGTTGTCGAAATTTTGTTCACTTATTGGTCCAAGCAGGTTGCTGAAGTGTTCTTTCCACCTGTCAAGCTGTTCTTCAGAGGATGTTAGTGGTCTGCCGTCTTTGCTTTTAATAACTGTATTCAAGTTACTACGTTGTCCACTCAGATGTTTTGTTATTTTGTACAGTTCCCTCATATTGCGTTGTTCTGCGGCTTTTTGTGCCTCGTTTGCTAGTTGTTCATGCCAAGCTCGTTTGTCCTTTCTGGCTGATCTCTTAACTGCTCTATTCGATACTTGATATTGTTGTTGTAAAGTAGTTTTTTTTATTAATACTTACCCATTTCTTATTGTTCTAAAATTTTCTAAATTTTCTAAATGTTTGTGCACAGGCACAAAGTTTTAGAAAATATATTTCTTTATAAATATCTTCTAAAATCTTCGTCCGTTCTTTTTTATACGCTAAAATTCATATTTTGAAGTTTTAATGTTATCGTCTGGTACTTTTGGGACATTGAGGCTACAGCATTTTTTTTTCTCAGTTTTCGAAATAATATTAACAAACTATACTGTGGATGAAATTTGATCAAAATTCTTTCTTATTATCATCTATATCAAGTAAGACATAGTCTCTTAAAGAGAGATTAACTTTACTATACTAAGAAGTAACTATACTAAATTTAATCTCAATCAGGCGTGTAGTTTTGGAGATATCGTGATGAGTCAGTGGGTGCCAAATCGCCATTATATAGATTAGGGCGATTCCGTAATAAACATTATCATCATAATTTTCAGCTTATTCAACCAATTCTAATTATGATGTAGCCTCCTTCACATACTCTGTTGTAGTTGGGCCCATTGTTGTCTATTGCTGGCTACTACATCTATGTCTATCCACTCTATTCTGTTAGGGTCTCTCTTGGTTATTCCGAGCATAAAAATAATAGAAATGAAATAGAAGGTAGAATAGAGAATTTAAGGTTTAATCAAAACTTTTTACAAAAACATTTTACTTCACGATTTATAACCTTTATTAAAAAGAAATTGGTTTGATCGATTGATTATTGAGTGTGTGATTTACTTGCTGGCTTAAGTCCGAAAAATAATAATTTTGATTAGCTAGATACATTTTATCGAAACATTCATTTAGCACCAGTAACATCCATTCAGTTACTCATACAGTGGTAAATACCTATTATAATTCAAATTATTTTGCGTGTAAATATTTGCTAGAACGAATAGATATTTGCCCAAATATGACGACTCTAAATTATTAATTAGTTTTACGATTAGATTACGTTTATGGTATAGATATTGCGTAAACAATTAGCAAACAAATAGCTGTTCTATTTTAGAGTAGATAGAGACTGGTGGCGGATTTAGATTTTAATTTGGTGCGGATTTATTTGTTCGTAATATGACCTGATGGTAATAATCTCAGTAATATCTCAACAAATGTTGAATTTATAATACAATATTTGAACTAATGGACGCGAAAGGCAAATAGGCGCACAACGGTAAATAGGTAAACAAATTGGTATTAGAGTAGGCATGGAAAGCTATAATTACGAAATTTAATGGGGGAAATATCAAACGTGAATTTATATTAAAGGGTGGCCGATGCAGATGCAAAAAAAGACAAAGAACAGAGAAAAATGTTTAGTTTTTTAGCTAACTTTAAACTAAGTGTACAAACAAACAGAAAACTTGTAAAAATACTCTAATACTTTGTATTGCTCTCTGGCTGCTATAATTGTCTGTAGACGTCGCACAGTGGAACGGAGCTTATGGGAGCTGTTGGACATGAGGTTTTCTTCTCAACACTTTTAATCCAAAAGACGAAAAAATTATTTTTATATACCGTAATAAGGTATAAACAGAACAATTTTAAACTTTAATGAAAGAAAGTGGTTGGCTCGTTACAAACCATCTACAGGGTGACCTAAAAATATAGTATGTTTTGGAAAAATCTTACAAGTTTTAAATGCTTATAAACTTTGCCAAACTGTCGTGGAATGTTTTAGTTTTGATGGTTCTAACAAAAAATATTCAGAATTTACTGAAGATTATGAAGCTATTATTTATTAAGTCTAGGCAAAGTTGTGTAAAAACTACTCTACAAATTTGAAAATAATTTCCAGCGTTTTCTCATGGTCTCTTTAGTTATGAATATTTTTTCCGCAAGCCTCACGGCTAAGACTTTCCGAGATATAGCCGAGAGCTATTCTTAGTGGGACACTCTGTACAATAACTTTATTATAAGCAAAGAATATAACAGTAAATCAACGCACTAGAATATTTTTATTACAAACAAGAAACCTCAACACTGCACTTTAACCCTCTTTCTTTTTCCAATAGTTTATAAGTTTTCCATATATTTGTAGCACCCTGTATCTGTTTTTGATTTTAGCGTCATTTTGTATTTATCCAATTAATAATTAAATATTAATAAATTTATAAAAAAATAAAGATAATTTGACTCTAAAAATTTTAAATTAATTTATTGGAATTGAAAAGGTTTTTGATTTTAGTATAGCATGTATTAGTAATATATTAAATGGAAATTTTTAGAGGGGGGCAAGCTGGGGCAAGATGTTAAATTAGTTTCGTTATTAGAAAGGCTTAATCTACCTTGTGATATATATAAAGTCTTGGCCAACTTTGGCCATTTTTTTATTTTTCTACATACACATTTTTTTGCTACTAAATATAGTATTTAGCAGCAAAAAAATGTTTATGTGTCTCTTATATACAATTGTTCTCCCAAACTTTTGTGACTATATATATCTTTTATTTTAAAGTGAAAACAATCGTTTGCACTAATATGTATAGTTAAAAAAAATTATTAATGTCTTTGCCAGTTTTTATAAAACTAGGTTGTTTCACAAGAATGAATACCATAATTAAGTCAGTGTAATATCTTCATTTGAAACTTTTCAAACAGATATATAATTAAAAATATTTTTTTGAGTTGGATAAAATATAACGGTCTGGACTTTAAGTAATTCAAATCTTCTACCAAAATTATTTAATTTAAAATTTTATTTTTAAGTCAATGTCCAACATTTTATATTGGGTCTTTCCACAGTGCGTCGCGTCGTCATCGGTTCGTACTATTAATGAAGCTGCAAACATACAGGGTCCGGCAATAGTGTGTCGGGCATCTCTAGCTCCCAAAATTAACCTCTTCAGGGTGAGTCAAAAAAGTGTGAGCGGATCAGGATGCTTTTTTTAAATTGTACACCATGTATATTATTACATTTTTGGCTTCTTTTCTGATCACTTTACATAATCTTAAGATTTTTTTAAATAAGTTTTGATAGTTTCAAAGATATTAATAAATAAATAAAAAAAAATTTTTTTCAGCCTTTTAAAAAAAACTATTAAAAATAAAAGATCTGTCCTGAAATCAAAACTATACTAGGTGTTTACTTTAGATGGTCTGTACTTTGCTATAAATATCGTAATCTTAAATCATACAGGGTGATCAAAATTCTACGCCACACATTCTAAAATATAAAATAATATAACCTCTTACTTACATAAATTTTTCGTTATTTTAAATGGAACACCCTGTATATTATTCTTGTAATATATGGAGAATTAAAAAATTTACATTTTTTGTTTTTAGAGTATTTCAAAATTTTTAACGGCTTTTAAATTATTTCGCGGTATTATTTCACATGGCTCTTTCAAATGTAAAATAGGAGAGAAAAATCACTGGGTGGCTTTGATAAAATTTACTATGGAAAATACCGTATGAAAAAATAGAAAACCGCGAATATCTGCGAAACCGTTAAAAATTTTGAAATACTCTGAATACAAAAAATGTTCATTTCTCAATTCTCCATCTATTGAAAAAATAATATACAGAGTGATTATAGTATTAAATCAATGACTTTTGCACAATCTTCGTCACTAAGAACAATATTCAACCATACACAACAATAATCACCAAAGTCACGTCGTCATTATGAAGAATAACATCAAAAAGTGACGATGATGAAAAAAATTGCAATATGTTTGTGGCAAGTTCATTCTGCTCTTAAAAATTAACCAAGGCATGTGTTGATTTGAGTCAAGAAAAAAATTTATTCGGGAGTCATGGTCCTGACTGAAAAATAATGTTTCTGGAAAATTAGCTCACTAAATTATTACACAGGGTGTTTTAAAGATAGGATAAAAAACAACTGTTCGACTTCGTCTCGAGTTACCAAAC